AACCAAGATACTCATGTAAAGGTACCAGATCCCAATGATGAATGTAACTGTATTTTATACCTAAAATGTACCAATAAACTTAATGGGGAAAAAAAAAGATTCCATTGTATGTAGATACCGCATTTTGTTTATCTCTCTACCATCAATGTATTTTTAAACTATTTCTACTTTCCTGATCATTGTGAATGAAATCACAGTGATCTTTGGGTGTACAAGTATCTGTCCAAACTCCTATTTTAATTTTTGGGGGGGGTTATGTAACCAATTTTTTTTGATATTTTGATATACCAGAACTAGAATTGTCTGGGTCATGTGGTGTATCTGTGCTTAAGACCTCTGAGGAATTTCTATACTGCTTTTCACAACAGTTGCATCATTTTCCGTTTTCCACTTTCCTCAGCAATTCACAAGTGTTCCTACTGCTCCATGCCCTTGCTGGCATTTAATTTCTGTTCTGTTGTTGTTGTGCTTTGTTTTTGATAGTAGCCATCCTCATGAGTGTGAACTGAAATGTCGCTGTGGTTTTGATTGTCATTTCACTAACGATTAGTGATATTGAGCATCTTTTCATGTGCTTATTGATCCTCTGTATATCTCTTAGAAAATGTTTATCCAAGACTTTTGCCCATTTTATGACTTCTGTCTACCGTACGAGAAGCTTTCTTTAGGGGGGAAGGTTTTCGTAACTCACTCAATCTTGCTACTAGCTGTATATTTCATAGCACTGTTTTATTTCTTATAACTCGGCCTTGGTAGGTTTGTATGGATAGTAAACTATTTTTTATTAGTCCATTCTAAGGCATTGTTAAGGGAAACTACTTTTAAATTTTTCTTTTACAGTATCCTTTTTTTTGAGACAGGGTCTCACTATGTAGTTCAGGCTGGTCTCAAACTCACCGTGAGATCCTCTTACCTCAGCCTCTGGAGTGCTGAGATGATCAGCCTGCACCACCACGCCTGGCTTGGAGAGTGTCCCTGTCTTTTAAAGGCCTCTCTACCCTCTCCCCAAATGACTAATGATAATTGGAATATTTGCATCTTTTAACCCTAAGTCACCAGACCAAAGACTGTCCTCTTCTTACCCCAAGTGTCAAGGAGTACGGTGTGAGGGGGCACGCAGGTCTAACTGTGTTCCTGAAGTTCAGGATCCGCCACAGTTCAGCAAAGTCTGTGTGTGCTAACCTGAAGAGGATTCTTACTCCACTCACTCAATTCACTCTCCCATCAGAAGCTTTTTATTTGGTTAAGTAAATATAGATTGGTTGAGAAAATTAGAGTCATGGTAAGTATAAATTTACCTACAAGTTAATTTCTTAATCCACCCTACTTTCAAAAAGAAAATCTACACGCAACAGAAAAGCATTCCAAGACATGCTCTTTCTGGAAAGCCCAGCGGCCGAGTCCCTAGACCTGACCAGGGTTATCAGTCGCACAAGGGTACCTCGATTTAGCGCCTGGGTTGTGAGCAGAACCCCGGGTTTATGCATCCTTAACACAGAACTCATGGTATTCTGTTGAGATTTTGCACCTCTAACAGGGCCGCATTCTTCCTAGTAATTCTGTCAATCGTCAGCCTCCGTGGCGATTGCGACAAACGTAGCTGTGAACCGCAGAGGTGTTTTGCTGTGCTGTGTTGTGTTGTTTCTGCCTCCCGCAGTGATCGCTGCTGTCCCTAACTGACAGGTGAAATCTGCTGTCTGGATGAACAGCACGGCCGGGTTTCCGTGGACCTGGGCGACGCCTGCTGTGGCCGGATGCCCTACTCGTCCGCGGGGCACCAGATGTGCTGCGGGGGGACCCTGCACGACGGCCGGGGGCGGCAGTGCTGCGGGGGGCAGGTGGTGAGCAGCGACCTGCAGTGCTGCGGGGGAGCGGCGCGAGGCCTGGCATACGCGCACCTGCCAGGTAAGGGCCCCACCCCGGAGCCGGAAACGCAGGAGGGTGTGCTGGCATCACGGCGTCCTGTGCAACAGTTAGCGGCATGACAGATAAAACTGCAGTGTCGCCTTGTGTCTGTGCATCGGATGCATCCCATCAAAACTCCCTGTGGAAGGTGTTACACCAAAAACAAAACATCATAATAATAATTAATTAATTAAAAATAAAAACAAAACAAAAACAAAACCGCACATGAATTCATTGATTCTACAGCAAAAGAACATTTCTCAGTAAATGCGAATGTGTGCACAAAATTATTAAGATGATATCATAGTATAATTCCTTTACTCTCCTCTTCTTTAATATTTATGAAACTAACACTTGTGTTCATTGTTATCACGCTGGAAGCGGTGGTCTACTCCTATAATTCCAGCACTCTGGGAGCCTGAGACAGAAGGATCTCAAATGCAAGCACAGCCTGGACAATTTAGCACACTAAGCAAGACCCAATCTCAAAATGTAAAAGGAGGGGTGTGGCTCAGTGCAGAGACCCTGGGTTCAATCCCTGGAACCTCCCCACCTGCCCCCCCCAAAAACCAAACAAATTTAAAAAATCCAAAAACCCAGAAAGTAATCATTATCATTAAATGGGTACTTACTGTCTACCAGGTATTGTCCGGATGGATGTTTTGTACAACATTAGCAAAATAATTGTTAGAACAACCTTACAGATAGATACTATTCTGATGCACATTTTTTAAATGAGGAAATGGGCTGAGGCTGGAGCTCAGTGGTAGAGTTCTTGCCTACCACTATGAGGCCCTGGGTGTGATCACCAGCACTGCAAGACAAGCAAACAAGCAAACATGATAATAAAATACAAGTGAGGAAACTGAAGGATGCACATTAGAAATGTATTCAAGGTCATAGAGCTGGTCCAACCTAGAGTTTGGAGAAGCTGAAACTTATGTAATTTGAGAGCCTTTTAAAAAGAGAAATAATGAAGACAAACAAAATGTAGAATGAATATTTATTTACAGTGGGAAAATAAATTACAAATCAAAAAAAGAAAGAAAAAGAAAAACCCTAGCAGATCCCACTGACACGAATAGCACACCTCCCTCTACCAGGTCCCCTTTGACTGGGTCGCCACTTGCATACACCCCTTTTCATTGCCACCAAGGCTTTTCACTGTGATTAAGAGAGGGAAGAAAAGTAATTCAGTCTATTTGGGTCACCTGGTTCATTGTAATCGCTTTTTTAGATTATTTGAAGTTTAGGAAGATGGCTCTAAGATTCACAACTCATACGTTATATAAATGTTTACTGTCAGATTTAGGGAAATCTTTACTGAGGATCTTTCCAGGATTGTGGGCCATTTAAATTGTTCTGGTCTGAAGATGCCTTGCAATGACTTATCTTAATTGTTTGTGAAGTTGACTTTATTAACCTGTATTTCATGGGTATTCTTCCTAAGTGTCTAAATTGGGGTTGTAAATTATCAGCAATGTCATTATCCTGCCTGGAAATCACCAAGAAGTATAACTTTCTCCAATGTATTTGAGTCCCTTCTCTTCATAATTTACCTTATCAAATAATCAAATAGCCTATGCATTGCTTCAAATCTGAATCCATCATTTTCTTTCACTATTTTCAGTTATGATGTAAAATTTACTTTACTACAATCTCTTTTTGATATCAGTATTGTTTTATTTAATCATTTAAATTTCTCCAGTTTCTGTCTCATATTAATTTTTCGACCAACTAATTTTTCTCTTTCTTTAAAGGTTCCCTTTGTATGCATCTGAATTAGGAATACATCTGCACATTCTACTTCTTCAACTTGAATCTAAAGTGGCATATTCAAGACTTAACTCTTTTTTTCTATGGGAGTGACTGAAACCAATATAGTAAATGTACTGAATCCAAATTAAATACTTGCCAGGCTCAACTATTTTTTTCTTTATTGGTTTTACTATTGAAGTACCCTATTAGTTTTACTAGCATCTTTATAGTTTTATTAGCATTCCACTGACTAGAATTCAACTATCTCTTGACACCTAAATACAAAGGGAGACTGGGAGGTTTTCCCATGATAAGAAGGGATTCTAACTCTGCTGCATGGCTTAAGGTCTATGCTCTTAGCCAACGTATTCTGGTATCTATATCAAAGTGTTCTGATATCTATACAGCATGGGGCGCCCTCCACCTCAAACTAAACCAATGTTCATTAAGTCTGATGAGCCAGTCTTGTAGAACATGGCAACCAAGTTGTACACATTTCATGAATGACCAGGAAAACAAAAAACAGACATTACAGAGTCTGTCGCTTACACACCACATACTTGTACAAGTTAGAAGAAAAGGTGCTGTAATACAGTTCTGGAGTCTGAGGCAGTAGCTGTCAAAGTTGGGCTTGGGCCCTTGTGAGGGTCACCCAGATGCTTTCAGGGGTCTGTGCAATCAGAACTATTTTTCACAATCCCACCAAACTCTTCTTTGCCCTAACTCCCATTCCCTCATAAACACACGGCAGTTTTCCAGGGACTGCGTGCCAAGTGACATTGCAACAGACAGAAAGCAGGAACGCATCCGAGAATTCAGTTGTTTTCTGTTAGCCCAGACATGAAATGGGCTTGCAAAAATGTAAAACAGGGTCATTCTTCTCACTAAATGTTCCAGTTTGGAAAATATATCAATTCTTCATAAAGGTATTACAGATTTGATATTATTTCTAAACAAATTAATAAATATACACTTAGGATTGAGTTTTAAGTCTAAGACAATAAGAATTAAATGATATGACCCATATAAATAAAGACTATTTTGAGACCTCAATAACTTGTGTGAATATAGTGATCCTGAGACCAATATCTGTTGTGCTGTTTAAAGGGATTTTAATCTACACTAGAAAATTGTGGCACTTGGTTGGTTATCCTTTGCTGTGAGGGACCAGCTGAGTACTTGCTCCTCTTTTGGATGGATCAGCTACAAGCAGAGGGAGGGAGTATGCAAAAATGTTGTCTCCTTAATTCTATAACAAGTCAGAATTATAAGATGACAGCAAAATATCTCATTTTACTGACTTTTTTCATCTGCAACTATTTTTGATTAGTCAATTGCCATATTCCTTCATTCAATGAATCTGTAGCATATAGAGACTGTGTTCAAGATATCTTTATTTGTGCTTTCTGAGGATAAAAATGACTGATTTATAATCAAATTAAGGAGAAAAGTATCCAAGTATACAGAAGCCTAAAAGAGGGATAATAAATGTATGTATATCCTTAAGATTAATCAAAAGTCCCATCAAGGTAATGAAGAAAGCTTCATGTAGGTTGTACCATAAGCAATGAGTAGGATTTTCAGAGGAATGATTTGATATAAAGTGAAAAATTAACAGTCTCCAAACTTGTCCAAGTAATGGTGAGCCCTACAGTTTATCAGAGCTCCACACCTTCTGTAAGGAAATAGAGGGAGGTAAACCTGAGCAGGCAAAAGGATTTGAACATTATTTAGTACTCTGGGAAGAATCAATGTGGCTATAAGACGGGGATTTAATGAGATTCATTAAATTTAGGTGGTAGAACGAATGTGAAGGAGAAGGAAAGAGAAGCCAGGCCACTACTGCTCTAAAGTCAAATGTACTTGTCCTAAGAAATGGAGTAACTGTTATTGTCTAGAGGACAAAGGTTCTTCATTGTTTTTCCTTGAGAATTTTTTGAAAGTTACAAACCTTTGCTCAAATAGGAACACATAGAAAGCACACATGAACTCACCTGAATTTTTATACCCTTGACGTCCATCCGTGGGCCCAAACTTCAGATCTGTGTTTACTTCCACGTACCAGTCCAATATTCCTTAATCAAATTATGTTGCCACTCAACTCCTGTGAATCACAATTATTTGTAGAGTTGCTTACAGTTTCTTTCAACTGCACCAGCTCATGCAATCATGGCAGATGAGAGAAATAATACTTTTTTTAAAAAGAGGTAGGAGGGACCTCTTTATTCTGCTGAATGCCTGCAGGTTTCACTGAAAAGAGACAGCTCTGCATGTGTTTTTTCCTCTCTGCTGTCACTTGCTCCTGTCATTCATGAGCACTGTGACCTCAGTGACCTTCGAGAATATCCATATGGCCCCTTTTCTGCTCTGTCTAGGCATGCACTATACCTGCCACACAGGGTTTGGATGGCATATCATTCCTGAGCCTGGCCGCTCTAGCCGCCTGGCATTGTGTGCCTGCCACACGACCGCGCTGGCTCGTAAAACATCTCTTTATGTACTTTATTACTTAAACTCTTTTATTTGCCTGCAGGAGCCCTTTAACAAAATCACATTGAATTGACTTTCTCACACCAAATCAAATCTCCCCGGTCCCAGTTCAGTTGTCTTTGTCAATATGTATTTTATAAATGGAGTGAATTAACAGATGCTGTTGGAACAGAAGTGCTGGGGTAGCGTTTATGTTTTTAGTGCTCTCTCTGGGCAGATGAGTTGTGTGGAGTGTTATACAGGTGTCTCGGGATGAAAGTCATGCTTGTCATTTCCATGGACATGTATCCTTAACCATATTCTCTGAATATATTTTAAACCTCTTTATTACTCTCTTTTCCTTAGTGTTTGCTTATATGGTTTTATCATTTATGTCACTAATCTTGGGTTGGACTTGACATATCCCATAGTATTTTTAAAAAGATGAAATTTAAAACCTTTCTATCATTCAAAAGGGACAGGATTTTCTGTGAGCCATAGGAAACTGGTCAGTTACATGCCTTTGGAATATATTTCCTTATTTCTATTATAAATTTTGTCCAAGCAACATTTGATCTGACACTGTGTACTGAAATTGTTTCCAAATAGAACACTGAGTTTCCATGTCCTAGACTCTGACTTTGGCAAAATGAATGACTACCACCAATAAAAAGAATGTTTCATAAGAAGGAATTTGGAAACTTTGCAAAGAAGGTGGGATAGCCACGGAAATCCATGGTGTAGGAGTTGGGTTGAAAGAACATATCCCAGAAGGTTTCCATATAACAAAATGAACTTTTGAAAAATTTAAAGATCCACATGCTATAAAATATATTGCAATGATTTGGGGTACATCCATCCCTACTCCTTCTTTCTATTTTGTGGTGGTAGCCAGAGAGCCATCTACTGGGAAAGGCATGTATGGATTTCTTTTCTTATAAGCTCTGGCAACCAATCTGATGTTTGTCTCAAGGACTAATCATAGACAATTTTTCTTTCTTCTAGTCCCAAAATGCAAAATTGCTTTGCTCAAAATGTAGTTCCCCCATCAACCCCATACTTCCACAGTGACTGTCATATTCCAGACTGCTTTTTACTACTGTGTTATTTTTTTAATCACAGAGCATGGTGCATAATTCTTGGTTTTCTTTTAGAAAAATGCAGGACTTGTTTTGAAGATGAAGCTATTTTGAAATTAATCAGGCAGATGTGTTTATAAATGATTTCCTTTTGATTCCTGGATATTAAATGTGTGTGTCGGTACCATATTTGAAGATTGCTAATACTGAAAGTAAAAAATTCCTCTGTCCACTCTTTCTTCAGCCATCCACCGACTACCACTGCAGTTTAGAAAGACAATATATGCTGTTTGATCTGAAAAATCAACATCTACAAGTTTTGTGTGAACTGCACCACTTTAGCAACATCTGTAACTGCTCAAAGAGACTCTGTACCTTTGTACAAATTTAATGAGGAGCCTCTGGAAGAATGGACAGATCTATCAATAATGCATGGGCCTTTTTTTTTCTTTGGGCTTATTTAAAATTGTGCATTTTATGCGTCAAAGTTCAAAAGTCAAGTGCTACATGTGATAGATGAGGTAGGGGTCAAAAGTTATTGCAATGCAGTTTTGGAAGATTGTCTGTCTCTGAATTTGCAGCTCATTCATGCTGAAGTGATGCACTATGGGAATTACTACCAAACTCCGCTCTGCAACATCTGTGCTTCCTAAGTGAGTTAGTGCATGTCAGACATCTTTATGTCAGAATATTGCAGTGATGGATGCAGTCTTCAGAAAATGCTGCATAAAAATCTGGTGTGCCGTTCTGGCCATTAAGTGAAATTACTATTTAAATTAATGGCACTGTCACAGTTTATCTGTACAAAGAATGAACGCTGATTAGGGTATTAAGTAATTAGCAATTTATCACACTGGAACAAGGTTGATAATAATTAAAGAAGTAATGGTTTACCAAAGAAACTAGAAAGGGAGTCCACTTCTTGTTAGGTGAGTGAAATCCTGGCTGAAAATTTCAATTCGGTGAAACAAAGATGAATCTCTTTGTGAAAAAAAGCATCGTTTTTCTTATTTTTTTTTCATTCTAGTGTAAAAGCAGTTAATTATCAAAATTTTACTTGACCTGTCAAAAGTCCCTCAGAGCGATCAGATGACTGATTAGGAATTTAGAATTAGGTCAATGTCTGCATTTTGATTTCATACTTAAAGCATTGCGAAACCATGGAGTAATTCTGGAATGGAGGAGGAGAATGTATTCTGCTCCCGAAAAGGCCAGCTTTCATATTTTGATTGCTTTTTCTAAATAGAAACATGGTTTTAAGAAAATTACTAGAGAAAAAAGTGACAGTCAAAAATCTAAGATTGTATTTAAATATCTGATCAGGAAGTAGCAGAAAAATGTCATTTTTAAAATTTTACACATGTACACCCTTACATGTTTGTTTGCATTTGTATATGCATACACACACAAAAACCAACCCCACCCCCCATAAAGAAGACTACATCTACAATGATAACCCTGCTGGGCATATGTTACTTGAGAGAACTCCAGGAAATCTTAAAACAATAAAAAGCTATTCATAGAAGCCTTTTAAACCACTCACTTTGAAGAGTTGTCACATGGTGATAACCATAGTTGTCAAAACTCTGTTATGATCAGTGTATAGTATTAATAATAAAGAAAAACTGAAAGATATTTTTACAGGTGGAGACAAAATGAAAAGATTGTTTGGAGCCATGTAGATAAACATCTTCCTTAAGGCATATGCCAAACTTGCGTCTACTTTCAAGGATTAAGAAAAAAACTATTTAAAACTCCTTGGTCTATTATTAGGAGTGTCTTTCATAATGTAGATGTTTGTACAGGGCCAGATTAAATAATGCAGGACCTCGGGGCACTTTGAATTTGAGGTTCTTTATGTTATCAGTCAGGACTAATAATAAATAAACAAAATTCTAATTAAAGTAAATCACTCATCACATTGTGCTGCTGTATAACTGCATATAAATTATGATATGATAGTAGTGGGGTGTTGAATCTAGGCACCTGAATTTCTAGCTTAATCTGACTCCAGAGTATTGTTTATTCATGCTTTTATGTCTAAATTTCTGCTGTTTTTCTTCTCTGGCAATAACTAAATGATGTGAATCCAGGTAATTAAACTGAACTTTGTGGGATGTTTTAAAAAGTCTGAGTATCTCTCACACAAGTGTCTGGAAGAGGCAGAAATTGAGGGTCTTCCCTAAAAGGTCTTTCTCCTGCTGCCCAGCCCCTCCACTGTATCTGCTCACAGGCTTAGAACAGAGCCAGGCTCCAGTCCTGACCAGTCAGCATCCTCAGCTGCTTTTAGGTGCCAGCTCTAAGTCACAGAGAAAGAGTGGATTCACAAGAGTGGATATCTATCCTTACCCTAGACAAAGACTGGCCAGACCTTCCAGGGGCTTCCACATCTAGGATGGCCTCTCATCCCAGATTGCCTGGGGACTTATTCTTCCCTGTGAATTTCTAGAGCTTTCTCTGAGTGCTTATGGTCTAACTGTCTTCTCCAGCAAGATCTCATCCTCACAAAATGGGCAGGCAGTTTTGATTACAGAAATCCGATCTTCTTTTGTGAAGCACAGGCAAAGTGTGGCCTGGCTGAATGATTTCCGAACACTGCTTCTTGTTTGTTCTTTTGATAATTAGTGTGCAGTGCTGCTGGTAAGAAGCCCCCTCACTGCACATTTAGATCACCTTGGTAGGGAAATGCTACCTTAGCTATTGGACCATTTCTGAAACTGCCCGACTCTGACATTTTTAATACCAAACTTTATAGCAGCCTCAGTTTTCTTCCTTTTTTATTTAATATTCATATATAACATTTTATTGTTGCAGGAATGTTCTGTTGTGGGCAGGATTATGTGAATATGTCAGATACCATATGCTGCTCAGCCTCCAGTGGAGAGTCTAAGGCACATGTTAAAAAGAAGGTCCCATTGCCAGTAAAATGCTGTGAGACTGAACTTATTCCAGAGAGCCAAAAATGCTGTAATGGAGTTGGATATAATCCTTTGAAATATGTTTGCTCTGACAAGATTTCAACTGGAATGATGATGAAGGTAATTGATAGAAAACCTCTCTGAGGCACTGATTTGACAATGGAAAGAGAAATACATTGTTCATAACTATTTTTCTAAAATAGGAATATAAAAACTCCTGTGTGCATTATTCATTTTCACATTACATCCATATTAATACCGAATGAGTTTGCTATGATTAATGTTTTTGCAATGAATTCTAAAGGAATTAATAACGATTAGCGGTTCTCAGGGAAGCATTGCCCAGAACTCCTGAGTGCAGCACTGAAGTCTGTGGCAGAAAGAGCCATTCAGGTTGTCCTGTATGGTACCATTTCATGGCCCTGAGAGCTGGAGGATGACATGGGTGGAAATTCTTGCTCCTTCCCTCTCACTTGTCAAACCTATCCGCCATTTCCTGTCATGGAGACCTTGGAACATCTACTTCACTTGGCTAGGTTTCTCTGTAGTCCTTTAGACGGTACGGAATGAACAAGTACCGATGTTAACCCCCAAAATGAAGCACCAAGCATGGTCATGTGCTGGGACCCTCCCATCCACAAATGTCATGCTTTTGGGCATCACACTTGCCCAAGACCCCAGACACCTATCATTTTAAGCAGTAGTGGACATTTAAACAAAACACCTTCCCGTGTGCTAGAGTGATTTCTCATCCCAAGGCAGCTTAAAAATGGGTATATTGGTCACAGATAGTGAAAGGACACTTGCTGAATGTGACAACTACACAGTCCTTGTGAGGATATCATTGGATGGATGGGAAATAATTCTTTTGAGATTGTTAGGGCCCCAGCAAGAATTTTGATGATAGATGATACATAGAGTTAGCTAAATTTTTATGGCAAAGAGAATATTTCTCCACACTGAATCAGGTAGCATGATGTCAATCTGTAGGTTCTACCATGTTTCCTGGAATGCCTCTCTCAGAGATTTCCTTCTGTTTCAATCTGAGGGGGACCACTGTAGGGTCCAAACAACAGACCCTGCAGGGCTCCCCTAAGCTGGCAACAGGAATTTCTCCCACCCTATCTCATGTTGGTACCCTGACTGTGGGTCCTGGATTTCCACATTTTGAAGAATTATCTTCCTATATATTAGTGCATAGAAGGTAATTCTGGGAGGGCGTGATGTTTGAAATCATGTTCTACCCTCCCAGTGGATTAATGGCTTGGCCAAATACCTATTTCAAGGGTAAAAATCATCTCCAATTTTGTAGGCATTGCTGTAGTTTTGAGGCTTCTGATAATACTTTGATTACTGTTTTTTATAGGTAAGCTTTTCAGGATGTTCTTTTTATTTTCTTCCTCTAAATTTTCATGAAAATGTTCATCAATATGGAGGCTATTACTGTTCTTAATGATGTAGTTTTTGTGGACTTCTTCAGTCTGAAGTCTTTCAGGAAATATTATTTTATTATTTATTTGATAATTTGCTGTCTCTTACCTCTCCTTTTATCAACTATTTGGAGACTGGTCTTCCTAAACTGATCTTTCAGTTTTCTTCTTGCTGTTTCATGCCTATTGATCAACTCATTTTTTTCCAATTTGATAATATATCGCCTTAACCTTATTTTTCATCCTACTAATTTCTTTAAATTTCAGCTCTCATTTTAAAACACTTTTAATGCCTCTCCTTTGCTGATTATTGTTTATTCACACCCTCCTACTGCTATTTCATTCCAGGAGCATCTATTTTTAGCCCACTGGAAATACTAATTACATCTTGCTGTTTTTGTTGTCTGCTTTCTTCCTTGGCCTGTCTCATTTATTCATTGGAGTCTATTTTAGTTTTCTTCTTTTCTGTGCTTTCCCTACTTCCTCGGAGTCCCTCATTCTGTGCTTGGAAATCTCTCCTTTTTCTTGGAGGCTGACTGAGCTTTTGCTGAGCAGAGGCCTGGGGACCACGGAGGTGGGGAGCACAGTGGGGTGATCATGTGGCCAGAAGGGTTTTCCTCAAGGAATCACAGTGCTTAATTAACTACCTCAATTCTCTACCCCAGGTTGGGGTGGGGGGCGTGCTGGGCTGCCAGCACTCGGGAAATCCAGCAGGAAAAGGGGTGCGAGGCCTCGGGGTGCACCATGTGCAGTAACTTTCCCACATCCCCTCTGGCACCTAGCTTCTGCCTTCCAGGGGCCATTCCCATTCCTTTTAATTTACCCACTCTTCCCTGAGCTGGTCTCACATTGTAATATCTTGCCGAATGCAGCTCACAGTGGTGCAGACATACTGCTAATGGTCTGCTTTAGCACCCTCTGCCCCAGAGCAAGGAGCTCAGTGCGTGTGGGTTGCCTTGACAGTTGTCTCAGGGCCTAAAGGTACCAAACATGTCCCCACGTTGTCCAGAGCTCACCAGCCCCCTAACCTTCAGTTTCTATTTCTTTGCCACTCCTACCACTAATGCCACTAACTAATGCCACTATTTTAGGGTTTCATTGCCCACAGCTAACTAGAGTATACTAAATCTAAAGACAGATATGCAACTATGTATTGGCTCCAAAGAATGAAAATCTTTTCTGCTTTGTTGAGGTATAATTGACAAATAAAAACTGCATATAATTTGATGTATATATGCATATATAAATGATCCCCACAGTTAAACTACTTAGTACTGTGTATCTGTAACAACACCTACAGTAGTAACCGTTTTCTTTCCTTTCCTTTTTTTCTCTTCCTTTTCTTTGCCCTCTTCTCCCCTTGCTGTTTTCCCTTCCTTCTCCACCTCCTCTTCCTACTTCTTTCTTGTTCCTTTCTTTGTCTTTGTCTGTACATATGTGTGTATGTGTGTATGTGTGTGTGAGAATACTTAGGATTACTCTCTCAGCAAAATTTTGTCTTAGTCTTCTGCATTACATCCCAATACATTCCAATCTAATATGAGTTAGGCGTCCTGCTCCAAGAAACATCTTGGGGTCCTGAGACCCTTCTGTCTCGTGCTACTTCACATGTAGGCTTGAATCTCGGTGAAAAGGAGGGAGATTTGATTCCTGCATACCAGTGTGTCATACTTGGCCACTGGATGCTCGGTATATCCTTCCTGTGCATTAGCCATACAGACAAATCGAACAATGTGGCTCCTCTTGTTGTGAATAGGCTTCAAAATCCCAGGCTTCCAAGGATAAAAGAAAATAGTGGACATTAATGGGCCTATGGCAGTGTATGTGCTACATCCCTCTACTTCCCAGCCTCCAGAAATCTTTGACTGTCTTATTTCTGTTCCTGTTTCCTTAGACTTTTCATATTTATACCATTATTTTACTGTCACTTGGCTGAGCTTTAAGAGTATGTAGAAATAAGTACAAGTGCCCAATTTGCCATTTTTAGATGGAATTTCTGCTATATTTCTCTGAAGCAACTTGGTGAGAATAATTTAACTCATTTTATGTAAGGGAGAAGTTGATTGGAGAAGCTTCTATAATTGAGAATGTTTAAGTATTTAAATCACTCAGATTAGAATGATTATCAATACATAAAGTCCAGTGATTCATCAAAGAAAGTGTTTATAATTATAATGTATAATGATAGTTCATGAAATATTGAGATTTTCTGTAAGTTAGATAGGTAATATTTCTTACAGGTCCAACTTTCCCAATAGCACAGGGAGTACAAATTCTCAAATATTCCATTCTTTATTTTCCCCAGAATATCACAGGAAATTGTCAAAAGTTCCGTATTACACTCATGACTGCTATCACTGTTTGTGGTATGCATACTAAGCCTAAGGCATATGCATGCGTTACCTCACTTCCTCCCCATAGCAAACCTTCATGGAAAATTTAATTTCCATTTTCCCCTCTCAAGAAGCTAAGGCTCTGAGATTATGAGTTCACAGGGCTAGGAATTTGCAAAATTGAAATTTTAATCCCAATCTGGGTCACTTCAAAGTAGCCATACTTGCGTGTAGACAAACTACCTTCATTTCTTTTTATGAATTTTGACAGATTCATTATCAAGTAGGACAAGATTCATTTGAAAGATATACAAACCTACCCTACACAAGTCTAAAGGAAATCTTACAATCCTCTTCTCCCTCTCCCGCCCCTCCGCTGACCCAGGAAACCGCAGTTTGTGGGACTCTGTGCCCAGCGTCTAAGGAAGCCACTGCTTACTGTGGACACTGTGACTTCAACTTCACCAGCCACGTTTGTGTTGTGACAAGCAGGTCCCTCAATTCCACAGGGAAGGCATCGACTGAAGAAATATGCCCGTCTCCCGAAGAGATTGTTCATACAGGAGACATGAACACATTCTCCTTCACAGGTAACGGGCTGCAGTAGCTGGGCAGGGAATGTGAGAAACATTATTTCTCTCTGACTTCCTCCCTCCATAACCTATGATGGATTCCCTTTCTCCTCTCTCCTCTGCTCCCATAGCACATTGGCTACAAAGTTTACCTTCTGCCTGTCCTCCATCTCTCCCATGAGACTAAACTACGTCTTTGTTGACTTTTAACTCATTATTTGGATTTAGCATGCTATATGCCATCAGAAATATTTATCAGAATGGATTTAATTACCAACGTTCTCAGTGTACTGGACAATTTGTCCAATTTCCATTTTCTTCCGGCACTTGGTTAAAAATTTGAATCACAGACCCTCATTTGACAATTACTGGGTTCCACCTATAAGAATCCCCTCCTTGTATCTTCCCCTTGTAATCAGAGTCAAGATTCTGAAGAGCTTTTGAGACATACTTGCCCTAGCTCTCTCCCGAAGTGAATAGATGTTTCCACATACAGAGGTAGGATTATGAGGGCTTTTAAAATTCACACTCCAGATTGCTTTTCCTGCAGGAACATACTGTAAGTTGAATATGAAAGATCACAACCCTTCCTTTTTTCATGAAAAAGTTTAAACACACACACTTTTGTAGTGCTGTAACAATTCCACTGAAACCAATTTTCAGCCATTTAGAGAAACTTACGACTGAACTCTAACAACACCAGCATTGACTGAAATTCATTCATGTACTCTTTAATTTATCAAAAATATTTATGAAGGGGTTTGGCAGTGTGGCTCAATGGTACAGAATTTGCCTAGTGTATGGAAGGTGCTGGGTTTGACGACCAGAACAAAAAGTTAAATACCTACTAATAGCCAGTCACTACAGTAGGACCAGCAGTGTGAGGAAGCATTGCCATGGATGACTCGAAGCCTGTCTGAGGAAGTCCCATGGTGACTGGGAGTACCTACAGAACTGTTCCATAGTGTGGCAAATGGGGTATGCATAGGCACTGGGAGAAGCCAGCATCGTCCTCTGATGCTTTTGAAAAGTTCGGGAGCTACACCTGGTGCAGAAAGAAGGACTTTGGGAAAGACATTAGGCTGAGGGAGAGCTAAAGGACAGGGTAGGGCCTAAGAGGCAGAGAGAAAGTGGATGAGGCAGGGAGCATTTGCAAAGCGCAGGGAGCACTGAGCACCTCTGTGGGGAGCAGAGTACGGGAGGGAGAAAGCTGGGGAACAGCAGCCAGAGATTGTGGTTCAGGTCAGATCACACCAGACGTTAAGGCCACACTAAGCAGTTGGTCTTCATGCAGCAATGAATGGACTAGAAAATTTTCTAAACAATGGAAGGATACAAGTGTATGTACATTTTTGAAGGAATAGGCTGTCAGCTATTAAAGCTATGGTTGAGGTAAGACAAATACTGTATATATGGAACATTCAAGAAATAACAAATAAGTATTATTTAAACCTGTCCCGAGGGCCAAGGAAGAGGCTCCCCTGCTGCCATTTGAGGCTCCTAGGGCAGAGAAAGTGAGCCAAGCAGGCAGCAGAAGCACAACCCCCCTACTCCCCATGTGGAAATGAGAAGACAAGTAAACAAGCCTCAAAACCAGACTTCCAGATCACCTACAGCAAGCCCAAAGGGAAATGAGATGGAACAATCTGATACTCAACCACCTGGACTCCCTGAACTGGCAACAAAAGAGGAT